CCTACCTACCTGCCTGCCTGCCTAGCTAGCTAGCTAGCTAGCTAGCTAGCTAGCTAGCTAGCTGGCTGTTAATTAACACGGGCCTCAGGAATCAAGAACCAAGCACCAAGATTCCATTAAAGGTTTTCTGGCGAATCTTGGTTCCCAGGCTTGGGCCCGTGTTTATTAGCACGGACCATGCTAATTGACACGGGCCCCAGGAATCAAGAGCCAAGAACCAAGATTCCCGAAAGGTTTTCGGGCGAATCTTGGTTCCTGGACATCGTGTTGATGAAACCAAGATTAACCAGAAAACTTTTCTCCGAATTTTGATTCTTAGCACCGTCCGGGTTAATCAACACGGACCCAAGCGTGAGAACCAAGATTCGCCAGAGCTTTTCCGAATCTTGGTTTGTGGTGTCTGAGACTCTGTACGTTAGCCCGCCTTGCGCAGCCAGGGGGACGGTAGCACCTGCGTTGCCCCAGGCACCCAGACACGATTTTTTCAGGACCAGTACCAAACAGTCAATACAGCCCGCCTCGCACAGCCAGTAGCACCCACCTGACACGACCCTTTCACGACCAGAACCATCTTTTGAATGTACTCTCTCGTTAAATTCGCGATCCTTGATTCATGTCTCGTGTTGCTTATTATAGGCCTAGTGATTCGTTTTCGATTTAGCCATTACTACTATTCGTAGTTCCGTCATAACACTCAGAACTTGCACTCACAAATAATGTTGTTACAGTAGTCCTACTAAGCCGTTAGCAAACGCTGCTGCAGATCCTGAGCCCTATTATACTATGTCCGCGCTCTCTCAGGCCGCGGATGCATACTAGGGAATTTACTAGCTATTGGTAGGGGTCTTTGTTACGGCGCAAGAAGGTCTCTTCCGCGAGTTCCCAGTTTACAGTCAGGGGCCTGAGGTTGAGGACTTAGAGGAGCAACCCGTCTTTAATGATTTTAATGGTTGAGGCCTTAGACTGTTGAGCTATAGTTTTCGGTTTAAGTTCCAAGCATTCAGTTTATAAGCTTTTCAGGGCAGCAATGTTCAATTTCGGATTTACGGCTAATCTGTCATTTATGATTTCAGGTGAATGGCTGCATGCTGGCGTCGTTTAAAGTGCTACCAAAACGATTATAGGCCTATGACTATAAGGGAATTACGACATTCAGGCGGGTCGGGTAGACAAAACTGGCCAAGCATTGAGGGAGAGGGTTACCATTGTACGGCTTACGGTTGAGGGGGCGCCCGCTGGGCACCTATGACATACGAAGCTCGGAACTGGAATCTAATGTGGGGGTCGGACAAACCCAATATCCTTATGTTATCTTATACCCAGATCTTGTTATTATCTTCGTTCTTCTTCTTCTTATTCTTATTATTAGTAATCACTGTTTAGTATTATTATTATTATTCTTATTATTATTCTTGATTCAGATCCTTATATTCTCAATTCAGGTTCGCCCGAGTCGGCATCTAAACGAACTTACATCAACCACCAAGACATGAATTTACGGCCTTGGCAATCCCAATATGGTTCCTTCACCCATATCTGTGAGACTATCGGTACTTAACATATGATTCGTGGTATAGGGTTTTTTGGAGCTATCAGGGAATATGTTGTTACCGAATAGTCAGACCTCTGTAGTGGGATGTTGAGAACCTTGGCAAGCTTCAAGGTTACGGGGACGCTGAAGAGAACTTATGCCTTAATTGCAGCACGGTTACTTTTCGTGTTTCTATCGGGTTTCGCAGGATTTTAGTACAAAGTGTTTATAAGCATACAGAGACTTTACGAGAGCTTTCGATTGCCAAGTACGAAGACCTCTATGGTATGATGTGACTTTGGTGCATTTGCAAATTAAATATGCGCACTCTGTTTTTCACAGACAAAACGGAGAGAAGGGGGGGGGCTACTGTTCCATAATTGTGCTTGACATCCTATCACCAACCCCAAACCTCAAACACGCAAGCCTTCATTAAAACCATCATCTTCAGGGGCCTTGAGTCAGGTCATGTGGCATCAAAACAACTGAAAGGTGAGGTGTTTGTATTTTTTTTTGAGGAGGGGGGGCATAGCATGTATGTATGTGTTTATGTATGTATGTATGCATATGCATGTGTGTATGTATATGTATGTATGTATGTATGTATGTATGTATGTATGTATGTATGTATGTATGTATGTATGTATGTATGTATGCTATGTATGCTATGTAGTTGCATGTATGTGAATATATGAGCATCGGACTAAACCTCCGGAAGAGGTAATCAGTACTAGAGTGGACACGAGATTGTGGAAAGTAGGGGTTTAGTATGAGAACCGATAGGGGCCGACCTATGTTCGGTT